CACCGATACAATATCATAGTGGATATTATTCCATGCATCTTATAATTATAATGAGATCGTAAAGCCACTGATTAATAATAATAATATTTTAATCCATTTGTATAACGCTGAGTGCTCCAGCTAACAAGCTGCTCCAAGGCGCTCTTCACAATCAAAATACATACAATGTAAAACGAGACATTGACCCCTTCATCTCCATAAATAGCCGTGTGTTTGATTAAGACAAGATAAGCTCTCACATCTGATTGTTGAAAAATGTAAATATTATATGTTAAGTCTATTTACAAGAAGAAAATTAAATATACACAGCGTTTAAACTTGTAGGCGAACGAAATCTATTGTATTTGACACCCAAAAACGTTATTGACGAGTAATAAGCGACGTCGACGGGAGCTCGGATGTTTTGCCCGACAGATTGTAGCCCACAAACATGGATGCCATGGGCAATTAAGCTTTGAATTGTTTGGGCTTTTATACCCATAAACAATTTCTAGCCGTCAAATATTAATCCGCTGAAGATTTTGTCAGAGAGATTATGGACGACGAAACATCTTATCTACATGTCTTGGACGAATAATCTTTTTAATGTGCACACGCTTTTTATACGTCCACATTCATAATGTGAACGTATTATGCCGTCGCCCCTGTCTGTGTGTGTGTGTGTGTGTATGTATGTATGTGTGTGTGTGTGTGTGTCTGTGGTTCGCCTACAGGGCGCAATTCTTCATGGATTTTCTTCAAACTTGGTATACTTATTCCTTATACCCCAAGGAAGATCCCTATTGTTTTTGGTGCATGCCCGACCCCCCGGGGCAGAGCCACGCCCATTTCTAGTATTTGTTTGTTTGTCGTCTACAGGCCACATTTCTTAACTAATAATCTTGAAACTTTGCATACACATTCTTTGTACCCTAAGGAACATCCCTATCGTTTGGGGTGCATGCCCAACCCCCAGGGGCAGAGCCACGCCCATTTTCTTTTCGTGTGTCTTTGTGTCGCCTACAGGGCGCAATTCTTACTGGATTTTCTTCAAACTTGGTATACTTATTCCTTATACCCCAAGGAAGATCCCTATTGTTTTTGGTGCATGCCCGACCCCCAGGGGCAGAGCCACGCCCATTTCTAGTTATTCTTTAAGTGGCATTTAGCGATCAGGGAACAAATTAACAGAACACAGTTTTTATGGGATACAATCACTAGTTTATTCTAAAAGCACGACGTTTCCACAAGTATTCTCTTATCGTTATCAATCAAGCAAAAAAAAACAAAAAAAAAACGTCATGCTTTTAGAATAAAGACATCGATTGTTTTAAAATAAAAATTGTGTTCTGTTAATGTGAACGAAATGTTATACTGATAGCAGTCCTACAACCCAGTTTTATTTCACAGACCCTCAATGCAAACTGGACCATATCAAACAAAACAGGAATGTGGACGTATATTGCTGCGTTAGCGATGCTCTTGTTTACTTAAAGTAGCTAAGTCTCTAACTCAATAATCATCCAAAATCTTCGACATTGAAAACACGAATTATTTGTCAATTTAAATCAACATTGATGTTGTGATCTTACGGGGAAAAGATGGGCTTCTGATATCCATTAATTAAGACAAAATAAACATTTTAGCGTTGGCACACGAATCGTGTACCATGGTGCATTTCAGCGCCATTTTTAACAAGGGACTCGTAGAAAGAGGCTAGATATATTCCACAAGTCATGTCAAATGGTGACACCATATTCTAATCTGGAGAGCATGCGCAATAAATACTATCGGTATAGAGTGGAATAACAAGACGCTAGAGATTGCCTTTGGATTGAGACTTCTGGCGTATTTCGCCGAACATAACTGATTAGAAATTGCAGTAAAAACAGAAACGATTGAATGTAAATCAGTTTATATACATTCACATTACATTATTATATGCGTTGCGACCCATTTGTGTCAATTTCTAGATCCAAAATATTAGCAATTTCGCTTCTTTAAATATTTTATTTCGACTCAACTTGTTTATTTTTTCCGAGGTCCCGTGTCAATCTGATTAAAACACATCTCTATATTTCGTTTCGTTTTTTTATACTTTCGATGGCCTACACAACATGAAGATCTGACAAGTTATAGCGATAGGTCACGTCAGGGGTCAAAAGACCGACTTATGACTCTATGATGTCAGACATTTGATTAACCAATCAGCATTGATGACTAGTGGATTACCCACAGTTCCGTGCAAAACACGCCTAAAGCTTGCCGTGACAGACCGTTTCATTAGCTTATCCCTGACACCAATCAGAACACGAGTTAAATAACAACTCTTTTCCAGATCCAAGTGTAGTAAAGACAAGTAAAACGAAATTTTGAACTATAAAAACGAAACGAAATAAAATCTGTGTTTTAACCAGATTGGGTCCCGTGTACACATTGGTGTGCACGTAAAAGAACCATTGACAGTTGGAATTCGAAACATTTAGTGCCGCTGTCCGAGCGAAATTAATTTCCCTCATATGGCATTGTTATGCGTATGACCCGTCTTCATTAGCACAGTCGCTGCAGAACATTGGAACGTTAAACATACATAATACAAGAGCTAAATCTGCCAATTGCAAGTCTTTATTTAGGCTTCAGGGCCCTGTTTCACGAAATTTTAACTAAAGATCTAATCCAAATTTTAGTAGATACATCAATTTTGATTGGCCAAGCACTAAAATCAATCTAATATTATCCAATCAAATTGCTAAAATTTGGATTTTATCTTAGTTAAAAATTCGTGAAACAGGCCCCTGAAGCCTAAATTTAAACCTCATTTCATTTCACTATTTATATCGTATCCGGTTTCTGGTCATTTATGTATTTATGACATTATGTCTATTCGTGTATTATATTTGGATTATGGCCTCATTACACATTTTTGTACAATGAATTTTATCTGAACAAGCAATTTAATAGATAAAAAACTGTTTATCGACTTGTGTGTCCCTAATAAAGATGTAAGATTTAGATAAAGACGGTTTTAGCTATAATTAATTGTTCAAGAGATAACCAAAAATGATACATTGAAAATTTCAATCAAATTGTATATCATTATGATTATTATCGTAGCAACGGTACTGGACAAACGAGACTAAGTCTCGATCATCCACTTTATCGCTATTTCTTTTTAATCTCACGGGCTTTCTAATCCATTTACATCTGTCATCCGATGCTCTAGAGAGTACATTATGGGCTTCAATTTATGGGCTTGTCATGTTAATAAATGTCTAAATAATAGTTTATATAAAATTTGAAGCCAAAATAAAGACCTGCAAATATATATTGGGGGGAGAGTGTGGGAGGGTCACCCTCCCACTGGGGGGGGGGGGGGAGGAATCCCCATAAAGTTTCAGTCTTCTGTAAACACTGTTTTGGCATATTTTACGAGGTTAAACTAAAACATCACACCAACATATTGGGATATGTACAGGTTTTTATACAGATAGAATCTTAACTAATCCTAATAATTGTTGTAAATAAATAGGAGTATATTCAGACCCCCCCCCCCCCCGCCGCCAGAAAAACAATTATTAGTGTGGGGGGGCGGACCCTCCTCCCCCCAGGACCCCACCCCCATGTGTGACTCCCATGCTTACATAATGCATTATTAAAGTCAAGCGCAATGTCTTCATAATTGTATCATAAAATATACTTGTGAGCCCTTAAGCTAAGAGTTAAATCTAAAAAAAGATCAGATTTTCATATTTCTTTTGGCAATCCTTCACTTTAATCAAGAAGAACAGTTTGACCTAAAATTCACTATTTCTCTTGTAAAAATAATATCTATCACATGTTAACTGTTAAAATCCTGCAGACATCTAGTAAACTGGATAGAAAAACACATACGTTTATGGAAAAACAATTTAATTTATTCAACGTATTCAAAACGTCGCCTAAATATTAGTATAATTGTTCTTCCATAAGTATGTGTCTAAGTAATTGGTGCAAATATATCGGAATGCGTTATAAAAGGTCTTTCAACACGATAACCCAGCACAAACCAGCTAAACGAACACCGTAGTGACAAAACATGGCCATTGTAAGTAGTATATATGTTTGTAATAGGAAGTGCAGGGGGACTGCACCACACACGATTACAGAAAGTAAACCCACGGACAAGACACAACACGCAGAAACCACAAACAAACGTGTGTGTGTGTGATTGAGAGAGAGAGAGAGAGAGAGAGAGAGAGAGATGGGGTTTAACGTCCACTCGACACAAACTAGGTCATTTCGGGACTAACACATGGTTCAATTTTATTTCAATGTTCGCAAGCGCGTAGGGGTCTTTAGCAGTGGGAGGAAACCGGAGGACCCGGAGAAAACCCACGCGGTTGGACAGGCGACCCCACTCCTTGTCACCTACAAACAAACAAACGTACAGATTAAACCCTGAATGGATCGGGGGCTAGCCAAGCGTGCACTGCGCTGTACCATCCCGGGCCTGTACTGATACAGACTTCATTCAAAATCGAAAAAAAATCAAGAATAGAACCCGGAGAAAAACATTAGTAATTGGAGCAAACATATCGGAAGGGGTTTAAAGGACTTTTTTTTCAATACGATAACCCAGCACAAACCAGCGAAACGAACACCACAGACACAAAACATAGACATTGTAAGACAAGGCGGCGGTGACCTATCAAAGAAATTAACATTGGGGACCGACCGCAAGAGCTTACTGCGATGTGACACAGTAGATGTATTCGCATATTTCAGACAGTACTTTTTACAATGCGGTGGGCAATAAGTACTCCGCATACAAATACCGCCCGAGTCGGACCATGCCATACACCGCCCTAGTTATGCTATTTTATAGGTTTCTCTAGATCTACTGCTGACCTAGTTGCAATATCATAGTTGCAATATCATATTTCATAAAATGGTACATCAACTAATCGTGATGTCCACTACTCTGCTTGTTTTAGAAAATTATTAAGAAATACAATCTAAACATGATTACTAAACCAACTTACCCATTTCTGATGTCTGCTAGTGTTAAAGTATTACTCTATGATTGTTACAAATTTAAATGCTTTATATAAACCGTGAGCTATCAGTGAACGTGACCTGAACTCAAGTCGTAGCCTGCAAGGGTTAAAGGGACTGGGCTTAGTTAATTTGTATAAATGAAATGAACTGGGCTTTGACGTCCTACTTTTCTGCTCCGACTGGGATAATGAAGACAGTAATTTGAGTAAGGCACTGGCTCACTAACTGATCCGGGTGTAGCACGGGAGAGTTTCTCAGGAGTTTCCAGCGTGCCCCCCCCCCCCAAACAGTGCTGTAGACGGAAAGGCCGCTTTCAGCAAGAAATTTCCCCATAGCACAATCACTATAGCTCTGTTGTTGCAGAAAAGTAAGACTTTAAACCCCATTTCATGTTTTAATTATAGTTTTACCCATAGACTGCATAACCTGCTCTAAATGACGTCAGGCAGGTGCCTACGTCACGGCGCTATATTATAATCATAGAAATATATAAATATATGTTTATATATTTCTATGATTATAATATTATGCAAGTCAGAAAAGGAGTGACGTAGGAGCGAGTCTGACCTATTAGAGCAGGTTATCCAGTCTACCAATCGCTCACTCTACAGAACCCCATCTCATGTCCCTGAACCCAACCAATACATCAAATAAAATCAGGCATGCACGATCTAAATTTGCCTATTGCATGTCTATTATGATTTAGATATTTATTAACTTACCAGGACCACAATCAATGCTCAAAGCCATCGTGTAGCTCCAATATTAAGTAGATTTAAATACATTATTATTACTGTTGATGCGGTTACCCGTCCTCATTAGCCCAGTTCGGAGCAAAACAGTAGGACGTTAAACCCTATTTCATTTCATTTTCATTTCATTTGATGCGGTTACCGTAAACATGGATAATTGAGACTTTGTTTATTATCCTAACAACGACAGCCATGACAATCGAGGCTAGACTATATAATTGCATCGCCGATAGCTTGGCTTAGGCTAAAGTAATTTGACTGAAATTTTCAACATATTCCCCTTTCACTATCTATTTATTTTAAAACTATTTATAGCGAAAACTGTTAGCTCTTTATCTAATCTTACCCACTGCCGTTTTGACCCTCGCCTAAAATTGCCCTTTAAAATTGTGCTCGGTGAACAAGTCTCGCTTTATTATGCAAAACTTTGTCAGCATTTGACTGGGCTAGTGTAGTGAACCAGTTAACAATAGCAACCGAATCACATACCCTTTACTAACTGAGGCTTGTCATTTTCTCGCGTGGATATGTTTAGGGGTATGACAAATGAAATGAAATGAAATGGGGTTTAACGTTCTACTGTTCTGCTCCTTAACTGGGCTAGTGAAGACGGGCATACGCCATGCAGTGTGCTATGAGGGAAATTTTGCCCGGGCAGCGGCGCTACGGCCTACTCTTATATCGAATTTCAACTGTCAGGGGATCTTTTACGTGCACGCCAATACACGGGACCTCAGTTTTACGTACCATTCGAACAACTAGACAGATGTCCTTGACAGGCCCTCCGTCCTACATCACTGACAAGGGGAAACCACGCCGGAAAATCTGGATGAACTTTCTCGGCCAATGCAGGGATCCAACACCCGACCTCCAGGCTAGCGAGTCAGCGTCTTACCCACTTAGCCACGTAATCTCCGGGGTATGACAATAAAATAGGTTCATATTAAATAGGGGAGCCGTGGTGACTTAGTGTACAAGACCTCGACTCGCTATCTAGGAGGTGTTGTGTTCAATCCCGATGTTCGCTGAGTATGTAAGTATGTAAATTTCTCTCAAAACACACTGCATGATGTAAGCCCGCCTTGACCCTACTCCCTGTATCTAGAGTTTGATAAATTAATCTTTAGACCGAACATCATTTACAATCAAAACTTTTTACCAACACAAAGACAAAACAGACTTTCAACCAATTATAATGCAATTTCTGCAGTAAAATTACGCAAATTTCCCAGTTGAAACACAAAACGTAATTTTAATCTGTATGAGGTTAAGGACACAATTACATTAATTTGCCCCGGAGTTCTCAGACATTCAGAGCCTAAAATAAGGTTAAATGCTCGTAGCACGGAACCTGTGGGCGAAGCCGGAGGGGGGGGGGAGTCTGAAAAAAGGCATCTATGGACTATTCTGGTGCAGATAATACCGTAAATTCGTGAAAATTATCTCCAAAAATAAATTTAAAAAAAGAAATTTTCAAAGTGAAAGTGAAATGGCGTTGCAGGACGCAGCAGATGGGATGCCAAGCCTACTAATGAGCTGATGCGGACGGCCCTTAATCGACTCATCTGAGAGAATCGATAGAGCGTCAGATGATGTGATCTGTGTAATGACCACCACAAGAGGAAACACTCATCAGTGGTCAGGAGGAGAGGGAGAGAGAGAGAAATAGGGTTTAACTTCCACTCGACACAAACTAGGTCATTTCGGGACTAACATATGGTTTAATTTTATTTCAATAATTCGCTTGCGCGTAGGGGTCTTTAGCAGTGGGAGGAAACCGGAGGACCCGGAGAAAACCCACGAGGTTGGACAGGCGTCCCTACTCCTTGTCACGTACAACCGGGGATTCGACAGGAGGAGAGGCATCGCCACATTACGCGTTCTCAGAGCACTGCACCAATTATTTTCTTCAGAGCTTCATATTTTCGAAGCATGGATTTTTCATTTCGAAGCACTTTCATTTCGAAGCACGTTCGTGCTCCAAGGCAGGTTATTTTAGGCCCGACAGACATTGTAAGTGTTGGATCGACACCACGCCATTTGAATTAATGATAAACCTTATGCCCTAAAGCTTTAGACCATTCAGGGTCGCCTGTCAAACCTCGTGGGTTTTCTTCGTGTTCTCCGGTTTCCTCCCACTGCTAAAGACCCGAATAAGCGAATTATTGAAATAAAATTGAACTATGTGTTAGTCCCGAAATGACCTAGTTTGAGTCGAGTGGACGTTAAACCCCATTTCTCTCACGCTCTCTCCCTCACACCCCATCTTCGGCTTCCACAAGGCAATCTTGCATAGAAAGGTTTTGTTGTGGACTTGGGTAGCTCAGTGGTCTAACACTCAATAAAGATTGTAAGGCCTGTCATGTATGCATGTCATGGACTCGATCCAGTTTTGTTTTTTTGTTTCGTATGCCATGTTTGCTGTGTTCAAATGCATTATTGATATACTGTATAAATTGTACCACATCTCTCTCTCTCTCTCTCTCTCAAATATGTTAAATATTTATATGTTCTTCAAGTAAGGTTAAATGATACAATAATATGTTATCTTATCTCGGGTCAATGTTGTAAACATATTCTGATGAAACATAGATATTTATCGTCATTACATAAAATTCTTTTTGAAAAAGATAAGATTACATTTACAAATGAAATGAGATGGACAGACTGGGGGTCAGGTGCCCCCTCTAACGTTGGGGGGCTTCTCCCCTGGGCACTATAAGAAAATCGTTGAACAACTGGCTGTAAATGGTGGTTTCTAGAGTGTAAATTCAAGAATGATCCCCCAAAATACGCGAGATGATTAACTAATTTTGGGACACCGAGGAGTCTGCCATACTCACAGACTCCGTCGTTGTCAAGCCCTGACATTGAGAAAGGACGGAGAAAGGTGACCGCGTTGTGACCCATGAGTCATTGATCACTAAATGAAATACGAGGGGGTAAAGATTACAAAAATATGATGCAACTCGTTCTGAACTGACATCATCGGGAATTTCCTCGTCTGGTTCCTCCTTGTCTGTGGCGCAGGGCGGATGTCCTGGCAAGGGACAGCGTATAGTCGTTCGGATGGGACGAAAAACCTAGGTCCCGTGTACATATTGGAATTCGATATAAAAGTAGACCGTAGTGCCCCTGTCAGAGCAAATTCCCCTTCATAGTACACTGCATGGCGTATTTCCGTCTTCATTAGCCCAATTGGAACAGAACACAGTAGCAGGCTAAACCCCATTTCATTTTATTTACGCCCTTTTGAGACTATGTCGTGTGTACACATTGGCGTGCACGTAAAAGATCCCTTGACAGTGGAATTCGATTTAAGAGTAGGCCGTAGTGCCGCTGCCCGGGCAAAATTTCCCCCAGAGCACACTGTAAGTCGTATGCCCGTCTTCATTAGTCCAGTTTAGGAGCAGAATAGTAGGACGTTAAACCCCATTCCATTTCATTTCCTTTTGAGACTTGTTTTTATTTGGGGTTTTATTTATATGATTTCGTGTGCAAGATGAGGTTGGGAAATTTTAACCGGGTAGTGGGATTTCTATCTAATATTCTTTGATTTCTAACTGTCAAAAGATCTTTTACGTGCACATCAATATGTAAAAGGACGAATCGTTCTAATCTACTTAAAATCGAAGTCATCCGATGGCATCAAGAGTTGATTATGGTCTAAAAAAAGATATGAAATAGGGACATTTAGCGATCAAGAGATGACTTATTTATAAAAAGTCATACAAAAAATCAAACCGTTACTTTTCAACTGGTCGAACCCTTTAAAAGGAGGGGTGTTGAATGACCGAATGGTTAGCACGTGTGCACTGTATCATAAAGTCTGTCATTGAGTCAACAACTGGCGTGGTTTCGATTCCCCGGTTGTACATGACAAAGAGCAGGGTCGCCTGTACAGCCTCGTGGGTTTTCTCCGGTTGCTAAAGACCCATACGCGCAAACGAATTATTGAAATAAAATTGAACCATATGTTAGTTTCGAAATGACCTAGTTTGTGTCGAGTGGACGTTACCCCCCCCCCTCTCTCTCTCTCCCTTAAAAAGGGGACTGTATGAACACAGATCACCAAATATTTTTACTCCGTGAGAAATGTAGGGCCAATTAAAGTTATTTTTAATCATCTTTCTCTCCCTTTCCCTTTTTCCCCCTTTTGAGTGGCGATTTGTTTTGACTTTTTGGTGTAGAATGGAAGAAAAGGGTTTGAAAATACATTTTCTGCCAGGTTTTGGTGAATATTCATGATTTTGAGGCGGAAAGGATACAAGAGTTGAGAGGTTGGTTGGGTTGAAATGTGGGGCCGAAAATTGCATGTTTAAGTATCTCTACTTCCCGTCTTGT